TCCTTCCTTCCTTCCTTCCTTCCTTCCTTCCTTCCTTCCTTCCTTCCTTCCTTCCTTCGGATGGGACCTAGGACCCTTGGACATGCTAGGCAAGTGCTCCACTATTGTACTAAATTACTCTCTCAATTCCTTATTTTCTGGTCCTGGGACTTTTAGGGCTCTGTTGCTAAATTTTTGTGCTCAAGGCTATAGCTCTACTACTTGAGCCACACCTCTACTTCTGGCTATTTTGATCATTTATTGGAGATAAGAGTTTTGTGAACTTTCTTGTCTGGGCTGGCTTTGAACCATAATCCTCAGACCTCAGCCTGCTGAGTAGCTAGGATTACAGGTGTGAGCCACCTGTGCCCAGCTAGCTTATTCTTAAATGAGAATGGTAATAGTATCCCTATTAGAGGGTTGTTATAAGGTCTAAGTGAACTAATGCATGAAACATGCTTAAAGCAGTAACTGATACCTAGAAGCACTCAAAAGCTTGCTACTTTTGAGTGGATTTTGTTATCTAGGAAAGGAATAAAGAGAGAGAATGCAAAGAACCCTAAACTTGGGGCTCACACCTATAATCCTAGTTACTCAAGAGGCTGAGATCTGAGGATCATGGTTCAAAGCCAACCCCAAAGACAACCAGGGCAGGAAACTCTGTGATACTCTTATCTCCAATAAACCACTAGAAAACTGGAAGTAGTTCTATGGCTCAAGAGGTAGAGTGCTTGCTTTGAGCTGAAGAGTACAGGGACAGTGCCCAGGCCCAGAATTCAAGCTCCACAGCCGACAAAAAAAAAAAGAGAGAGAGAGAGAGAACCTCAGACTTAATTTTTGTATATTCTGATGTGGTTAAAGTTACGTGTGTGTGTGTGTGTGTGTGTGTGTGTGTGTGTGTCATGGGGCTTGAACTCTGGACCTGGGCACTGTCCCTCAGCTCTTCAGCTCAAGGCTAGCACTCTACCACTTGAGCCACAGCACCACTTCTGAGTTTCTGAGTGGTTTATTGGAGATAAGAGTCTCATGGACTTTGCTGACTGGGCTAGCTTTGAACGGTCCTCAGATCTCAGCCTCCCAAGTGGCTAGGATTACAAGTGTGAGCCACCCGGTGTCTGGCTCTGATGTTACTTTTTAATTTAATAAACTTCAGCTGTTTTTCAGGGACAAGTTACGTGAGTAAATGTATGAAGTAAAACCCCAGTAAAACCTGTCTTATAGGGCTGGGAAGGTGGCTCAGTGGTAGAGCGCTTGCCTTGCATGCATGAGTCCGTGGGTTTGATTCCTCAGCACCACATAAGCAAATAGCAAAAACCCGGAAGTGGCACTGGGGCTCAAGTGGTAGAGCGCTAGCCTTGAGCTGAAGAGCTGAGGGATAGCGCCCAAGCCTAGAGTTCAGGCCCCACGACCGGACCCCAACCCCCCCCCCAAAAAAAAAAAACTGTCTTGTAGATCATTGTAGTCCCAGCTATTCGGGAGACTGAGGTGGGAAGGTCAGGAGGCTAGCTTGAGCCCAAGAGATTAAGGTTAAATCTAGAGACCACATCTCAAAAAAAGGAACAAGGACAGATTCAAAAGGCAAGAAGAATGAAGGCAGACAACCTTAACAGACCAGATCAACTTTAATGAAGGTCAAAGAGGGACACCAGAATGATCTAAGGAGAGTCAAGAGACATGAGGCTTTAATGGGGCAGGTTAAATATTTCAGAGATGGTTGCTTTTATTTTATGACGATGTTTATTCATTTAATTTATATTTCTTTCCATTTATCTTTCTTTCCTTTGGGCTTGAACTTAGAGCTTTAGGCTTGCTACACAGGCACTTTGCCACATAAGCCTTCCTCTTAGCTCTTTTTGCTTCTAATTTTTTTAAGATAGGGTCTCTCTTGTTTGTTTTTGCAGGTCAGCCTAGATCATGATCCTCCTTCTATGCCTCTTGCATAGCTGGGATGACAGATGTATACCACCATAGTCAGCTCTTTTTTTTTTTTTTTTTAAGATGAAGTCTCACTAGTTTTTTGCCTGGCTTGCTTGAATCATAATTCTCTCAATTTCTGCCTCCTGAGATTGCAGACATCAACCATTGTGCCTGGCCCAGAGTAATTTAAGCAGTCAAGTAGCAATGTTATAGAGAAGATTACTGTACTGGGGCTCATTAGGCTTAAAATATGCAGAGAATAATCCTAGACTAGAGAGAGGCTTTGGAGAACATTAGGTTTAAAATATACAGAGAATAATCCTAGACTAGAGAGAGGCTTTGGAGAACATCAGTGATAAAGCTGACCAGAAACTGACCAGAAGCTTATGGTAGTGATGGAGAGTCTGCATTCTGTCCAATATAATATAGATTTTCTCCACTCCTCATCCTCCTAAATAGATGATTAAAAAACATACACACTAAAGAAAGGGTCAATAGTAGGAGCATAGCTAGAGTTGTAATGTGCTTGCATCGTATGTGAAAGGCCCTGGATTCAGTCCTCAGTACTGTGAAAATGTGAAGAGGGAACATGGTGGTGCATGCTTACAATATAAGCTCTCGATAGACTGAGGCAAGATATCACAAGTTGAGGCCCACCTGGGTATATGGTGAGACCTTATATCAGTACTCCCCCAAATGGCGAGGTCATCCAAAAGAAGAAAAGTCTGGGAAACAGTCACACCTAAGAGAAACTTAAGGAAACATAATAACTAAATGTAGTATGGGATCCTGGTAACTTAGGGAAAACTTAGTAACTCTGAACAAAAGATGTGGATTTTGGTTATTAATAGGGTATCAATATTAGTTTATTCTTAAGAATGTGTCTTACCTATGATGGTACTGATGATACTAGATGATAATAGGGGATACGTAAGTGTATGGGTAGGAACTCTGTCATAGCTTCACAATAATTTTATAAGTATAAAACTATCTAAAAGTTTATGAAAGGAAAAGCATTTAAAATTGAAATTGAGGGGTAAAATTATGCAAAAACATAGGGGATATATATAGGCAAAACAGAATGGTAAGAAAAATTTAGGGACTGGGAATGTGGCTTAGGTGGTAGAGTGCTTGCTTGGCCTGCATGAAGAGCCCTGGTTTCTACTCCTCAGTACCATTCAAGTGGTGTGGCTCAAGTGGTAGAGTGCTATCCTTGAGCAAAGGAAGCTCAGGGACAGTGCCAGGCTCTGAGTTCAAGCCCCAGGACTGGTGCACATGTGCACTCACACACACACACACACACACATACACACACACACAAAAGATAAGGTGTAGGTTCTATAGCAGGAGTATTAGGGGAAAGGATGGGTTCAAAAGGTGAGAAGAATGAAGGCAGACAAAGATACCAACCTCAACACACCAGATCAACTTTAATGAATGTTGAAAAGGGACACCAGAGTGATCTCAGGAGAGTCAGAGGACAGGAAGCATAATGGGGACAGGGGTGGAAGAACTTTAAGTAGTGTCATGGGTGGAGGTAGGGTCATAGTTAAGTAGCTGGAGGGTTCAAAGAGTTTCAAGAGTTATGATACAGGCCTGATCCCAGGAGCCTATTGTTTGAGCAAGTCCCCTGCTCTGCCAAGTGTGGCCTGCTTCCCACCTAGGGGGTGGGAAAGTGGATTTCCACTTTAAGATTATGGGCTGGAGAATTTTGGGAAGGTGGGGTGGTGAGTAGTTAGTGGGCCAAGCTATAGCAGCAACATTAAATTATAAGAACAAAGCAGATTCCCATCAGGGAGAAATACTGTAAGTTTTGATTCTGAAAGTCCTCCTCAGTTCCTGAGAAGAAGCTGGCTTCTGAGGGAAATTATCTTCAGCTATGTGCTTCTTGCTTTATGACCAAGAAACACAGGGGCCATGAGCCTGCTGAAGTTTTCTTGGGGCTTCACTGAGTTCTTTCATCTTTGTTTTTGTTTTTTTTTTTTTTTTGGGGCCCGAACGGGGGCCCCGGTGCTGTCCCTCAGCTCTTCAGCTCAAGGCTAGCACTCTACCACTTGAGCCACAGTGCCACTTCTGGCTTTTTTCTTTTTGCTTATGTGGTGCTGAGGAATCGAACCCAGGGTCTCATGCATGCAAGGCAAGCGCTCTACCACTGAGCCACCTTCCCAGCCCCTGAGTTCTTTCATCTTTGTCTGTGCCACTCCTACCTGTTCTCCCACTCCCACTCCTTCTCACTAAGCAAACCTTAACCTTTAGGTGTTCAGCTTGCAGCTGAACACAGTGTTCACATAGCAAGTCTGTAAGGATCACCCACTATGTAATTTGCTGCCTGCCAGGGCTTGCTGGAGGAGGAAAAGCAACCTAACTTGGGGGACAAAGATGCTAAGCAATCCTCTGCCATGGTTCTTTTATACTCTTTTGTATATTTCAGAATGGCAGTGACATTAATGAAATGGGGCTATTTCTTATTTTTAGGCGCAAATATCCTGCGAGATTCAACAGGCAATGTCAAACTAGGAGATTTTGGGGCCAGCAAACGACTTCAGACCATCTGTCTCTCAGGCACAGGAATGAAGTCTGTCACAGGCACTCCATACTGGATGAGCCCTGAAGTCATCAGTGGAGAAGGCTATGGCAGAAAAGCTGATATCTGGTAGGTTTGGATGAGTTTGCCTGAAAATTTATCTGCTTTCCTAGTATGTTTGAAATTACCAAGCCAGATTTTAAATTATCTTTTATACCTTGGAAGTAAAAAGTACAAATTGTAAATATCAGCATTTTCTTTTCACATTGTTCTTTATTCTTATCATATTCTTTTTATTATCTTTTAGTAGTTTTACAAAGGGCTTTCAGTTTAACATGTTGGTTTATGAATATAATACATCTTCATCATTATCATCCTTTCCCTCATTCTCCCCATCTCTCCTAAGTCCACCCATCTCCTCAAATTTAACAACCATTTTTATTATGGCTTGTTGGAGCTTATAATTAATGAAATACTTTGTCTTTGAAACTATTTTCTCTTTTTCAAGAAGAATTTTGTCTTATGCATAAAAAAACTGTCTTGTTCTAAAAACTTAAAAGTAATCTTCACTGTCAAGTATCTTAAATTTATTTAATGATTAATTGCTTAAAAGTTCTAAGATAGGTTATAAAATGACTGTTTCCTACTTCCTACCGAGGGGAAATTTTAATAGGTATTTTAGGTACCTGAAGGCAAATAGTTTCTAATACTGTATTTTTTATAAGATGGTTAGAAAATTGTATTAAAAGTATGAGTAATTTCTTTGTCTATTTTTGTTGTGATGATAATTGTATGTTTTACTGAATTTGAGAGGGACACTAGGAATGGAACCCTGTGTTATCTAACACATGCTAGGTAAGAGCCATGCTAGGTATACCACTGAGGTATATACCTCCAGCCCTTTGTTGATTTTTTTAAATTTAAATTTTAGTTTGTAGACCTAGTCTGTCTTTTCTAGCTGACTTGGATCACACTGTTTAGCCTCAATCTCAAGAACCTCCTTCTTCAGCCTCCTTAGGACTGAGATTCTAGGTACATGCCACCATGCCCAGCTACTGATAATACATATTTCAATTACAGTTTTCTGCAATTACAACCTTAAAAAACTGGTAACCACTTAAAAAAGCTTTAATTTTTTTTTTGGGGGGGGGTCCCAGTCCTGGGGTTTGAACTAAGGGCCTGGGTACTGTCCCTGAGCTTCTTTTGCTCAAGACTAGCACTCTATCATTTGAACCACAGTACTATTTCTGGCTTTCTGTTTATGTAGTACTGAGGAATCAAACCCAGGGTTACATGCATGTTAGGCAAGCACTCTACTACTAAACCACATTCCTAGCTCCAAAAGTTTAAACTTTAAATCAAGTCATATAAATGTATGTGGACTTTATTCTTATTTCTCATTTTTCTGGTTAACCAGCTTTCTTTTCTCATTGTTACCGCTTATGTAATGTATTATTTGTTTCTTTTTTAGGAGTGTAGCATGTACTGTGGTAGAAATGCTAACTGAAAAGCCACCTTGGGCTGAATTTGAAGCAATGGCTGCCATCTTTAAGATTGCCACTCAGCCAACAAACCCAAAGTTGCCACCTCATGTCTCAGACTATACTCGAGACTTCCTCAAAAGGATTTTTGTAGAGGCCAAATTGAGACCATCAGCTGATGAACTCCTGCGGCACATGTTTGTGCATTATCACTAGCAACCAGCCTGCTGTGCCTGTACCCAGTTCCCATCCTGTTCGTTCACCTTCTCTCTGACTGCACTTTTCTTTCATTAAAAAAAAGAGAGAGAGATGGGGGGGGAAGACAAGAGGGAAAGTATTTCTCTTGATTATTGGTTAAATTTGTTTAATAATAATAGTAATCTAAATTTTATATTTAATCTTTTTTCTCCTTAGAAGAACTTGAAGCTTTTAATTTTTATAATGTACTGATGTGGTTGAGAAAGACAAAGCACTTTAGTACATATTCACTCTTTTTAGAATAAACAAATCATTTGGAGTATATAGTTGGTAGTCTTTCCATGCATCACTTATTCTATTGGTGGTGACAAGGAGACATGGTCAACAAGGATAAGAAAATAATGTACAATTTGTAGTTTTTAGTGATAATTTAAAGTAGATCCTCATTTGTAGGTTTGAACCCTAAATTTGAGTTAGGGTAGGTACTCAACTTAAAGAATACAGGTTTTTTTTTTTTACATCTGTATTCTTTAGATCCTAACCTCTGTCTACCAAGCTTTTTGCTCAGTAGGAATCTTGATAGAAGATATGAATCTCTAAGAAGTATGTTAATTTGTCAACCAGTATAATAAGCAAATACACTATAATAGATCCATGTTACTGGAATCTTTAGACTTTGAGGGCTAGCTTTCTGCTAAAAAATACCAAGACAATAATACTTTATTTGTAAACAGATAGGGGAAGTCATTGAGTATAACCAACTAAAAGATTTTTTTCATTAAATATATGAACAGTTACCACATTTGCCAAGTAAATAGAAATGATAAATGACAGAACCAAGTATTTAGTATATGTTAAACTATGTTCTTGAGGGGAAGTCCCAAAATTAAGGAATTGGGAAATAATAAAAATCATGTATATGGTCTTCTTATTTCCAGTCACTGATTTCCTGTAGGTAATGGTCTTTAGAAACTAAAAGTTCAGCCTTAAGTATTCTTATGTTAAAACCAGTGTCTTGAGATAAAACCTTTGTTCTCAGGATCAGAGAATACTAAAATGTGTCAGAAAAACAGATATGTAAAGCACCGAGGGTGTCAGTGGCTTGGGGTAATTTTACTTCCTTTGTTATTTGGCAATACCTGGAGCCATTTTTTGTGTATCACAATTGAGAAGATACTACTGGCATTTAGTGGTAGAGGCCAGGATGCTGCTAAAGTAGATGCCATTATGCAGGATAGCATCCCCAAATTCTTCTGCCCCAAATGTCAAAAAGTGCCTAGACTGAGAAATCCTGATATAGATGCAAGTCCACGTTATAAATTGAAAGCAGGTATTTGCAGAAATGCAAATATCAGAGAGAAATATGTACAATAAAATGAGGGTTCATAAGAAGAAATACCACTACTTTAAGTTAGGGGTGAAAGATCTCAACAAATAGAATTCACTTCCTTACTAACTATAGATTATACCGAAATCAGCTCTTCCATTCTAGAAACAAAATGAGTTTGAATATCAAGCCTTTAAAAAACTCAGTATCTGCTTATATTCTTTCCTTAAAAGTCTATTCATAATTATGAGCAAAAAAAAGCGCCTATCAAAACAAGTTGTTTACTACCAGCAAGAAGGTTAATACACTGCTGGGTACTTGCAGTATAAAGTATGCACTGAGGACAAGGATATTAAATGGAAAGAGACAGCTGGGAAAGATCCCATGATCTCTAATGAAATTGTGCTGCTACAAAAGATGAGGATAAGTCATTTGGCCATTTGAAGATTTTTCAGCATATTAAAGCAAATGCTAAGTACTTCATTTTTAAAGGTCTAGAAATAATCATCTTCCCAGAGGATTTCAATATGATGCCTTTCATTGATCCCTAAGAAAACTGAGGTGTTATTTTCGGCCACAAGGTATGCTTATTTATCAATTCTTTGAAGTTAGGTAGATCTTGGTTTAATTCATCAAGGTCCTTCCTAACTGTCATTTCCCTGCAAGAATGTTTGAAATTCCATTAACTGGTCTGAAAGTCAAAGCACAAAATTAACACTTACACTCTGAAAAATCAAAGGAAGCAGCTAGCAAAAAAAAAAAAAAAGAATTAGGTGCCTCTAACCTTGGTAAATAAGCTAGCTGCCTAATCTTAGCTAGAAATATGGTCTCCACATGTGTTGATTTATTACAGTTTTCTCATCTTTGATTAATGATGACATCTTTTGTACTTGAGGAAGATCATGGTATCTGGACCAGTGGATTTTCCCCTCATTTCTTTGTATTATGTGGTTTTGATTCCCTTTGGCTCATTTTTGGTCAGGATAAACAGCAGTACAGAATCTGAGGCAAATGTTCTTCAAAGATAAATCTAGGGAGACTGTGAAACTCAGAGCAGAATTGTTGGCTTTTTTTCAGTCTCCTTTTTCTAAATGCTATAGAAAATGATGGCACCTAAAAAAAAAACTAACACTGTTACAAAATACCTTTGCTTTATAAGAAAAATGTTAGCTATGGGAAAATAATGTTCTTTATGTAAAGACTTAAAATAGACTAATAGTTTACAGGCATATTATAGAATATGTTGTGAATTTATTTCAGACAACTTATAAAGGTACCAAAAACTACAATGAAAGTACATATATATATATAACTCCTGGAACAGAAAAACTTGAAATTGTGGTAGGGGGAGTAAAAGACCAAAAGTACATTTTAAAAAGAGACTTTAGAAAAACTGTTATCAGAAGAAATTAAATATTACACTCCATTGTTTTCTTCTTTCTAATAATGGTATGTATCGACAAAACTAAATTTGAACTTTGAAAGTAACTTTAAATGTATTTTGGGTTTTTTTTTTTTAATGTATAACTGATTCTTCTATACTGTAATGTTTCTTTGCAAAGGCTGGAAAATGGCCAGACTGCTGACTTTGTGCCTTTCAAATGCATTCTGCTTTGACAGTAGCAGATGTTTTGGTGCTGGAGAAGATTCACTAGCAGTCTTCTTTGTGCTTTTCAGGAAATATCTTCCTACTTAGGCCTTGAGCGATTCAGGCACATGACTTAGGATTGGACCAAATATAAGATCTGTCTCATTGTAAAAAGCGTGAGTTGAATGAAATGACTAAAAATATTACAATGACAGATAGAAATTTTGATGAGTTAGTAATTCCTTAAAATATATTTAAAGGTTTGAGGTTAGAGGTGTGACTCAGTTGGTAGAGTGCTACCCAGTGAATGACAACATCAAGTACAGAATTCAAATCCTGGTCTCAGCCCTAAAAATATATATATATAATATACATATATATGTATATGTGTGTATATATATATATGTATATATATATGTGTGTGTGTATATATATATGTATGTATGTGTATATATATATATGTAAAGGTACACTGAGACTGCCAGGGGGAAAAAAAGGTACACTGACTTTGAAATTTTCAGAGTGAACTGTCTTGAAGTTTTTCAGCATTTTTTGCTTATTTACAAACAGCTCTAGCTTAAAAAATGACTAAAACTATTGCCTTAGGAAGTTTTATAAGGCACCCTTACATAATGTGTTTGAGATTGACTATTAATGCAAATGCTGAAATATAATAGAGAAACTGAAATTTGGATATCAGATAAATTGAATTGGTTTTTATTTGAGACTTATTATTACTAATACAGACCACATAAAAAAGGTAAAGTGCTTCTTGAGAGTAGCATTCTGCTACACAGGGCAGGTCTGAGGTATTCCAGAGGTGGAGTTATTAGATGTTTATAATATACTTTGCATATTATAAAATTTGTAAAATCACTAAGAACATCAAATCAAATCAAATCTGAATAGTTCTTCAGGATACCCAAGCCAGATGCAGACTCTTTGGCCATGGCAGGGTTTTGTGCCAACGATTTCATTTGAGTTTTAGGAACCAGTAGCTCAATTTAAAATCCTCTAGTGCCAATCAACTATATAAATTTATTCATCTTTTTTAAAAGTGTGAATCATTTTCATTTCCTTATACAGTAATTGCAGCTTGCAACATTAGATGGTATATTAACATCTTTAAGAGGTCACAGTTTAGGAGGAGGAACATGGGCAAATGGAGTTATTTTATAGTATACCCTCACAGTTCAGCACTGATGTTTAAAAGAATTATAGATTTTTTTGAAGTAAGAAAGCAGTTTGGAGTAATCATTAGCTGTTATAAATTGAAAAGTCATTAATAACAGAGATTAGAAGTATCCCCAAGTTGGAGGGGACCCCCCCCCCCACTACAGATCAGATGACCTGTCTCTCAGGATCCTATCTTACCATAAAATGCAGCCTCTGCTCAAAAAGTCCCAGAGATAGGGAGCATCTATCCATAACACAGTGTTACTTTTTTTTCTTTTGAAGAAAAATGTTTTCTTTTGGTTTAAAATATAGAAATATATTTGAAACTGAACTCTACAGACCATATTGTTTTTATCATTAAGCTTGGCATTTGTTTAACTGTAATGTTCATATTCACTTGAATTTTAAGATTGGTTAAATGTTAATGGAAAGCAGTTTGTTAATTTTTAGTAGTGCCTTTTTCTCTGTATGCCTTAATTTTATTTTATATTACTAATTCAAGTTACCCAACAAAATGAAGATTTTTCCAAAATCAGTAGACTTCAAGAGGTCATTTGGCCTTAGACTATGTATTGGTCCTTAATGTCTGCTTACTTCCTCCTACCCTTTTCTACCTCCTTTTTTTTTTTTAAGTGTTAGGAGGGAAACATTAGCAGTTGTCTGTGATAGTCTGTAGTTTCTACTAGACATAAATCCCTAAAGTAAGCATAGAAAGAGGTATTCTCATTCTAAAGAGATAAGTTATTTTCTGGATTGATGACTTGATTTTTTATTGGCATTGTCCAAGTTCTTTGTAATATTGTGGTTCAGTTGTGATTTCAATAGCCCAGCTGAAGTGGTGATTTTTGCCCTAAATTGGTCATGTAAATTATTTACAGCTGATGAGGCAATGATGTAGGGAAATCTGGAGATAGCTAATTCAAATCCTTAGAATTATTAAAATTTTAATCCTTAACATTTTGGCTAATGCTGTAGCTTACTCTTCTATAAAGTGTGTGTGTGTGTGTGTGTGTGTGTGTGTGTGTGTTGGTATTTGGGGTAGGTGTGGGTAAGAACAAAAGAAAGAAAAGTTTGGATGTTCAATTAGATCAGTCTCTGTTCTTGGAAGAACAGCTCAAAAATGTATGACCTACTGACAATAGGATGAAAGTAATCATTCTTAAGTCGGTTTTCCATAATTAGCTAGTACAAATGATTATCTAATAAAGGTATTTATTATAAATTGCCAAGTTCTTGGTTGTTAAAAATAGACTAAAGCTCAATTTGTGTGTTTATGTGTAGAATAATGAGCTTTCATGTACTAAATAGAAAGTAACTGATCTTAGGTAGTTCTTTATAAACTTTTTGGAATAGTATTTCTGTCAGATATCTGGACAAGTTTTCTTAGCTTACTAAGTATTCAGAAAGAAATTATCTTATATGTCTTCTTTGGTTGGCTAGCAAAGGTGTGCTGTGGAGCCCTCTTTCTTCATAGCTGTCTTTGGCATTGCTTTGACTTCTGCTATGGTCTGGACTAGATGCCCTAATAGGCTTGGGAAATATGAGGCTAGGTATCTTTCTCTTCTCACCTTTCAGAGCTGTAGATGGTAACGGAGCTCTTGAGAGCCCAGAAATGTCTTTTCTCAGAGATAGTAAGGGTGATCAGGGTTGGACTTCAGGAAAGTGAGGGAAGAATCATACTTGTAATAAGGAAGATAAATAAATTGTCTGTAATCTCTATACAGTCACATATATAATTCTTCATGGTTTTTGTACATTTTAATTGTCAAGTTATATGGTATTTTTGTTAATAACATCAAAAGAATTAAACCACTGACTCCTTTCAGTCAGTCCCTCTGCCTGTCTTAATTGCATCATAATCTGTATTATCAGAATCACTTTAAACCAAAGCTTTTATATTCCCTGCACACATAGCCAAAATGAGTTCCCTGTTACATCTGCCCACTTGTGAGCTAATAGATAACAAATGACAAAACAGGTACTAGTAGAATTTGTCTCCCAGTCTTTCCTTCAAGGAGAGGACAGGTGCTCAGTGTTTGCATTTAGACATGCAGAATTTACTCCAACAATTTAGGAGCTTTATAGACTACAAACTTTAGCGTGTACACGTGCCAATCTTGTTAGCGTCACTTCACCATAGATGCATGTAGATATGTATTGTCTGATGCCTCAGATTGGTGGCGTGTTTTCTTCCTAGTGTCTTAACATTTATGAGCTTGTGTTTGTTTGACTTGAGGGGCATTTCAGCAGTTCTGTGAAAAAAAGTTATGGACTGATGTCTGCTTTGTGCCATAGATATTCAGAGCATAAGGAAGTTTCTGCTCTTTAATGTATGCGTAGAATTTGTCTTTAGTTAAGAATTTCTGAACCTCCTAATGCCAGTTGAGAAAAGTTTATGATTATCCTGTAAAGCATTTTTGTGTTGACTTATTTATATTTTTTTAGAACTTCGTTTTTAAAACCAAATGTAACTAGTGATAATTTTAGCATTAGCATTACATGGAGGGAAGAGATGAGTAGTTACATCTTAAACTCTTCTAGATACTTAGACTCTAAAAGGGATTTATATGTTCTCATTTTTCCAAAGACTTCTACCTAGAATAAGGAGAAAAGGACTTAGTGGAAACATTTGAGCTGGGATGGCTAGGGTCAGAAGAAGGTGGGCCAAACCCTTGCAGTATACCCTATTCAATTAAAAAAGTACAGTATCTAGGGATAAGAGGACTTATTTAAACACAATAAATTGTTCTAATACAATCTTAAGTAAAAGGTTTACATTTTTTTCTATCACTGTTCGTTTTAAAATTTGCTACCCTGCATTCTGAAATATTATATAAGAGTTACTACCAAAAATACTTTCGATGTGTGACATCTCTTACATTTCACATGGTTCTTTTTATTCACTGTAAATAAAAGTAAATGGATAAATTTAAAATGAATTTAATTGTTGCATATTATGAGTATCAATTTGTAAATTTACCCTTTGACTTAATGTACATTTTTTTAAATGTAGCCATTAAATTCTCTATATTTAACCTATTGGTTTCTCTCAGTAAATGTTTTTAATCTCAGTTAAATGGGCAGTTTATAATTATGTACAAAGATTTTGTTTCCTATCAAGGTTGACTTTTTGCACATTTTTAGAAGTGTTTTATTTGTACACTGATTTATACTCTGACCAATAATTGTTGAGTGTATGAGCTCATGAATGGGTGCATTGAACTACTGTCTGTGTCTCTTAAGTTTGAATTTTCAAGGTATGTCCATCAGTTACTGCACTGCCATAACTGACTCTTGCTTTTACAGAGTATACCTACCTGTCTGTGGTTCTATCTTTGTTAGAGAACTCAGGAGTTCAACATTACTTTCTTTCTTTATTTTTTTTTAACTGTATTCTAAAATCCATTACTAAGTTGAAAGTATTCTTTGTATCTCTGTATCAGGGGATGTGTGTTTGTGTGAAGATGTCTTTTTATGTCTGTATGTAGATGTATATATATATATCCCCCAAAAATTCTTACCTTCATTTCATTTCTACATTTTTATGAACTTGTTTTATAAGGGTACTATTTAGTTAGGATAATTACGTATATATAAAGGTTTTCTGAGAGATGATTTACTATATGAATATATTTTCAGCTGGCTGATCAAAATATTTTTTTAATTTTTTTTAACCATTCAAGATGTATTTGTATTTCCAGATTGAATACACATTTTACTTAAAGTTCAGTTAGAACATACTTGCAAAAAAAAGCATTGAACTCTCTTTGACACTTCTATGAAAAAAAATAAGAGAAAAAATAAGCAGTAGCAAACATATACTGTGTCCACTAACATGGCCTTTGAATTCTCAGAGCTATGAAAAAATGTCAGAAACTAAATTGGTTTGAAGAGATGTCAAAAATTGTTATATCTCCAGTTGCTGTAGGCCTGACCTATAAACATTTTCTTTATCCTACTCCAGAAGATTTATCTTTTCGCTTATCCCTTAGCAAGGCTAGACTGGATTTATAAACAATACATTGACATATTATGATTCTCTGTAACTGACTATAAAATTGGGTTAGAAATGTCCAAATATATATTGTTATAACTTTAATTTTTACACTGTAGTGTATGTTTTAAGTAACTGGCAGAAAAAGAATTGGAAATTTGTTTTCCAAT